ATGAGAAAGCCTAAAGGGTTATGAGTTTATTGGGTGTATCTGTGATAGCATCATGGAGGGGTTTTTTATTCCCATAACAGCAAAAGGATTTTCAAAAAAAATTGATAAATGACCTTTTTTTTATCTGAAAGTATTTCTATTTTAAATACTGTTTTGTAGATTTCAAAGGGAATTATACTGATAGTTGTTTTTTACTTTTAGTAGTATTAGTAATATCTTTTTTTTTTTTTAAGTGCTTCATCATACCTACATTGTGACCCCTACAGCTCAGGAAAGTAGGACAGGTGAGCCTGTCAGGATTGAGAAAACCTGCAAAGGTTTCACTGGGAAAGGTGGGGTAAACCGCTTTCTTTCTGCTGGGGAACCAGATAGCCTGAAGCTGGCTGGATCTTAATCTAAAGTGTACTTTGGCATATTTTCCCCAAAGGCCTTACAACCAGTAATCGTTAAAATTAGCAATACTTTATGTAAAAAGAGGTAGAAACATTACAGATTGTTATGCTCAAGAGTACATCCATGCCTCTTTCCTCCCTTGAATTCTTACAGATTGTTAGTTTTAGGCCTAGAAAATGCCAGATTCAAAAAGGTTACTAGTTACAGAGGTTCAGTATAATCTAGGCTCTCTAATTCCTGTAATCTTTTTAGGATGGAGTTTCTTTTGACTTAGAAACACCAGACATGGAAGCAGTGGGCTTTTCTTTATTTTCACAAGAATTTTGTGACATGGAAACAGGTTTGAAGTATACATTAATAGTTATTGTCACTGCATAGGAAATCGTCTAAGTGCTTAGGAGTTTTAAATCTACCCTAGTGTCCTTCAGTTTTTCTTTGAAGGAGGATAATATGTGTCCCAGTTATTCTCCTTTTGCCCTCCCCAACCTGAGATCCGTTTTTTGCCTGCTCAGAGGCCCTGGAGGCTTTCCCCTGCTGACTCACTCACAGTTCCCTGTGGGCTGGTTTTCTGGTGAGTTTACCTCAGGAGACATTGGCAGGATATGGAGAAGGGAATTTGTTTCTACCTTTTGCGCTTGGTCTGTAGCACTAGCTGTACCTCTGCAAGACTTAACACTATACCTTTTGCTGGGCAGCCCCTTTTTGATGGCTGTCAGCTCTTACTGGATTTGAGTAACATCTCTTTTCTCTATTCATTTAGCCTTATGGGTGGTAGAAGCTTCTGCTATTGCTAGTGTCTGGAAGCCTCACTATAGGTAGTCCCTGACTTAGGATGGGGTTCCATTCAGAAAAAGTTGGTTCTGACTTAAGTCAGATACCTCATTCTTTTTCTTTTTAGTTTTCATTATTATTGCTTTTTATTATCAGTATCTTTATAAATCCAATATTTATTTTGGGGGTTGGAAACATTACATATAAACTTAGATATATTTTAATATATACATACTTAAAAAAATAACACAAATCATAAAAATTTACTCTGACGAGTTGGATGACACTGACATTTTGTCAGTTGTAGTAACTCCACTTGTGGAAGGTTGTTGAATCATCTGGATTATCCCTGTGTTTCTATTCAGAAGATCAGAGTTCTCTGTGTGGTCCTTTTTTTCCTTCATATATCTCATGGTAACATCTCAGTACTTCCTGAATCTGCCTATTGACTTTAGCAAAGCAATTAGTGTTTGGGTCCATGTTTTCAAGCAACTGAAGCCCTGATTTAGTTTTTTTAAAAAAAATCAGCTAATCCTTTGACTATAAAACTTTTAGACAACTTCTGTCCTCTTTCCATCTTGCCCAGCTCATCCTTGAATTTTTCAGCAGCTTCAACATCAGTGTTTCCTGCCTTTCCAGTTACACACGTTTTGTAAGCGAAATCTGCATTTGAAGCAATGAAACCAGCCCTTGCTGCCATTAACCTACTTGCTGTAGTCTCCTTGCTGTTCTTCAGGTTTTCAAAAAGGCTGCGTGCTTTCGTTTGAATCGTCTGTAAACTCAGGACTCCTCTTCTGGTGGTCTCCTATCCAAATCAACAGCTTCTCCATCTCATGGATTGGCCCTTGTTTCTTTGTTAAAATTGTTGATTTTATGTCGGTCGCTCCTTTACCTGCCTCCAAAATCCTATTGTCCTGAAGGATTGTCGAAACGGTGGAATGAGACAGTCCTTCCTCATGTGTTATATTTTGCCAGCTTTCTTCCCATTATCACAGGCTTTAATGGTCTTCATCTTTATATCCGTGTCTAGAGCCTTCCTTACCTTCTTTTTTGGATCAAAACTTTCAGTGGCATGACTTCTTTTGCTAGACATTGTTGGGTGTATAAGCAGTGCAGATGTTACAGTTAGAGAAACTGCTTCCAATTAACAACTGATGCTTCTTATGGTACAAAACACTGAATAAGATCCGCTATAGGCCTGCTCTGCAAGAAGTCGGGTCAGTGTTGGAACAGTGAAGTTGGAGTCCTGGTGACTGTTGTGCGTGTGCACAGGTCAATTGTATGGCATTGGAGTTCAGCATTGCCCAATTTTCTGTCCGATTCCCGACACCAACACCAACTTCATTGCAGACCAGGCCATAGCCTGCTATATGGCAGCATTCTGAACAGTTAAATCATAAAATTGAACATCTGCAAGTGAACATGTGAAAATGATAACATCAGCAAATTATGATTTGCAACATTGAACACTTTACTAACGATACACAAAGTAAAGGATGGTTGTAAGTGCAGTTAGTCATAACTCGAATGTGTTGTCAGTCAGTGACTACCTGCATTATCTTGATTGTTTTTCCTCTTAATCCTGCCTCCTCCTGAACAGTCCCTTTGTTAGAGTCTCTGCATGCAAACCATGCATGCAGTTTCTTGCCAGGACTCTGATAAAAGTCAACAGAATATACTCTGAACAAAACCCTTTTCTAAAGCCTACCTTGTATTATGCCCTCCTAGTTGTTGTATAAGAACATTTACAGAAGTGAAAAGAGGACTTAACCGTTTTTTTTTAGTCATAGAATTAACTGTAGAACTTTTAAGATTCTCAATATGAAGAATAAAGACAAACCTGATTTAAAATTCCTCATTTTGAGCAGTATATAACCCATTTCGAAGGGGTGTTGAAAAGATTACATGGAGTAACTTACACAAGACCCTGAGGATAGTACCTGACCTGCAGCAGCGCTCCCTAAGTGTCAGCCTGTCCCCGTCACCTGTGGACTGTGTGCATGGTAAATCTCCAATATTCAAATAACATGGTGGAACTGTACGAGGCAGTGGGGATGCAAAGATGAGTGCTGTCTGCTGCTTGTTTTTCAAAAGTGCACAATCGGGGAGGATCGGGTATCTATGTAAATTTTGCTTCTTTTAAAAATAGAGCGTTAATCTCTGTGGTAGTGATATAAAAGTGCGTTTTTTACAGTGACATAAGGCACAGAGTAAAGTGTCTAGCAGACACACACCCATGTCTTCAGTCACATACCTCTTTTCCTTTCATGACATGTATGGGATAAGTGCCAAGTAACCTTACATTTATGAGTATTTACTGGTGATTTTGAGAGTTCTAGAATAACAGGGATGAGACAAAGTATACTTATTTAGCAATTTAAAACCATAATTAAAAATTACAAAGTCTGTGTTTTGCTATTTAGGCAAACCAGAAGCATTTGATTACATTGCAATTACATTTCTTATACTCAGGAGTATAGATAATATTCCCGAAGAACTAATTCACAGAGAGGAGAAAGCGTCCTTGTTCTATTGCCATTTATGTTTTTTCATTCCAGCATGGAATTATACTGATTTTAGGGTAAATATAAATACTGTGAATCATGGTGTAGAACTTAATAAAAGAACATGTTATGTAAACATTAGCTGTCATGTGCCTAGCACAGTTGTATGCACGGTAATTCATTTAATCCTTGTAGTGCCCCATCATGAAGAAACTGTTATCTTCATTTTACTGATGAGAAAACAGGCACACAGATGGTAACTGACTTGTTATTTGCTGTGGAGTTGATTCCAGCTCATGGTGACCCCATGTATTCAGAGTAGAACTGCTCGATAGGGTTTTCAAGGCTGTGACCTTTCGGAAACAGATGGCCAGGGCTGTCTTCCCAGGTGCCTCTGGGTGGGTTCGAACTGCCAACCTTTCCACTAGTTGTGGAGCGCTTAACCATTTGCACCACCCAGGGACTCCTTGGTAACTGACTAGTTGGTGGCAGACCTGGGATTTGAACCCAGCTGAGCTCAGCTACTACGCTATACTACCTCTGGGTTACTGTGTGTATGATGTGTGCTTTTAGGTAAAGTTTGCTTTGAGCCCAGTTGATTTTTAGGGCACAAGCCCAATGTTACTAGAGTAACATTGCATTTTAGCACAAAATTAAAAGTTATAGAAGCTAAAGTCCTATATAAACTTATGAAAAAGATTTTCCTCTTTGATAAATTAACATTTTGGGTTTCAGGACTTTTAAAATCATGAGTAAAAGAGTTACATTTGGTGCTTCAACATTTTCCCCTTATTTTACTTTCTAATTATGTCAGAATTTCCAGGAGACATCAGAAGGGTTATTGCAGAAATAGATTTCATTGACTATTCTTCATAAACTTAATTGAAAACCTGTAGTGAAAATATTTTAGGAAAGCAAAATCAGCAGTGAACACTTACCCATATTGTTTGAGAACTGCTCATTTGTTGTATATTGATTGTTTCAGAAGAAAACAGCTTCACTATAGGGCCAAATGTTTACAATTTGACATTTGATTCAAACCAGTTAGCACATTAGGTGAGTGCTATATATGGGTCAGTTAGCTTCACTCTGTTTTATGGCAATAGCCTGCAGCTACATTGGAAGAGGTGGGCACATTAATCTTGGGAAAGGGAAGACAGGGTCAAAAGAAAGTTACAGCCTCTATAAACCAAAAAACCCATTGCTGTCGAGTCGATTCCGACTCATAGGAACACTATAGGACAGAGTAGAACTGCCCCATAGGGTTTCCAAGGCTGTAAATCTTTATGGAAGAAGACTGCCACATCTTCCGACGGCAGAGTGGCTGGTGGGTTTGATCTGCTGACTTCGGGGTTCTCAGCCAAGCATTCAACCACTGCCCCACCAGGGCTCCTCGCTGCAGCGAATACAGCTCAGAGGGCAGGTTCTGCTGGCAGAAAGTTTCTAGTAACAGCTGAACGTAGTCTGGTTTCCATCAATAGACATGAGAAAATAGACAGTAAGTCCTAGCAGTCTAGCAGAAATTTGGACTTGTTACTAAAGGAGTTAAATCTCCAAACGTTTGCCTTATAGGTAGAAACCTATTACAGTTAATGATTAAAAGCACCCTTTGGAAGACTAATCAAGGGGCTGCAGGTACTCCACAGGTTGAGAAGTGTTGATAGGAGATTATGCAATATCCTAACTTTATCTTCCTCTAGCAAGAAACGTTCGCGGTAGGAAAATATGCATGAAGTTAGTCTGCTGTGTAATGGCATTTTAGAACCAAACTGCTGAGTGAAGATGCTTTTATGGCAAAAGTACATTTTAATAGTTCAGTGGATTTTAGTTAAGACAACACTTTATGTCCTTGTTTGCTGAAAAGAGTCAAGCATATACAAGACTGTGCTGTTAACTCACTGACAGCAATTTCTTTAAAGCTTTAACATTTTCATGGGGAGGAGAAAAGGTCAAAATGTATATACTTCCAAAAATAATGACCAAAATACTCAGGTTTCTACAATGACCATCAAAGACCCCATCCATAACAAAAGTGAAAACCAATCAGAACACAGAGACAGAAGCTAGAGGCAGAAACTTCCTTTATACACTACAGCCTGCAATTCAAATTGCCAAATGTTTGTTTCAAGTGAACAGACAGCTCACCTAGTACCTTTAACCTAATAAGATTCTGCAAACGTGATTTCCCTCCATGGAAGGGGATTCAGTTCAGCTCTGGTTCGTTAACGGGAATAAACAGAAGGACTGCTCTGGGGAGGCAGCCAGGAATCACAACTGGGCTTGGCTTTAAGGAGACAGCACTGCCAAAGAGAAGTTTGGCTTTAGGTGACTTCTAATGTTGTCAGTGACAGTAAACAGTTGGGAGCAGACCTTGGGCCAAACCTTTTAGGGAAAATGAGCTAAATCAGCGTGCGCCACTGTCAAGTTTAAGGTGGCAGCTGGACTCAGCCAAAGTGCATTCTCCATGAGGAGTCTTCTCAGCAGGCCAGAAACTGCTGGGGGAAATGCTTCATCTTGAGCCTTTGCAACAACAAAAACCTTTTTTTCCCTGTGAATCTGACTGATTGACAAGGTAGAAATGTCATTTAAGTGGCCTGAATTAGTGACAATAATTTTAAACCATTTATGGTTATGTTGTTGTTGGGTGCTGTAGAGTTGGTTTCGACTCATAATGACCCTACGTACAACAGAACGAAACACTGCCCGGTATAGTAAAGAAAATATATCCTGCAAAGGGCTGGAGACAGCTACCTGAACTTTTAGGTGAGCTCTATAACAAGTACCTTATATGAGGAGCTCACCAGCCTCATGACCAGTCACTTCTGGGGAGTGGAAGGGGCCGAAGTGTCCCAGCCCTTCTTGGTCTTCAGTGTTTCGAAATGTTGCTTGGAGAGGTTGACTTTCTTACAAAGAAGTAACGATCACTCTGGACTGTCATGCTACCAATAGCACACAACTTGCCCTTTGGGAGAGATGCTGTTGGCCAGACATTTTTCTTCTTGGTGGGATTTACAGCATTTCGCCTAACTCTTCATCAGCTCCCAGGCAGAGTCACCACCCCAAATGGCTGAGAGCAATCTTTTTCCACTCTAGTGGAGAAGTCTCCAGAAGATGCTGGAGTTGGGTCTTTGGCATTAATGTAGAACTGAAGCTCCTCAGGAGTTGGTAGGAGGCAGTGGAAGAGGTGGGGCAGGTGTCTGTGGCTCCTGGATTTCCTCCTTTGTCAATGCGTAGCGCCTGGCTTTCCTGGGGTCAGGCTCTGGAGTCTCCTCTGCCCACCTTCCCACTCGGCGCACACCTTTTGCTACCTTGGGTGCATTTCTGCAAGGATTGTGGTCATAGATGATCAGCTTCAGACTGGACAGGTGGGCCAAGCTGGGGAAGTAACGGATGCTGTTCCGGTCCACATCAATCACCTCCAGGAAGGGCATATGAAGCAGCACAGGGGGGAAGTTGGTCAGCAGGTTACCCGAGAGCCAGATGGTCCTGAGCTCCCGGAGGCACCGTAGCTGGCCTGGCAGCAAACGCAGAGTGTTAGAGCCAGCATGCAGAGTCTTGAGGAGGCTCAGCTCACAGACCACATCTGGCAGATGGGTGAGGCAGTTGGCTTCAATCCACAGGGTCCGGAGGTTCTGGAGCAGGCCCAGCTCACTGGGGAGGTCGCAGAGCTTGTTGTTGCCCAGGTAGAGGATGCAAAGCTGCTTCAAGGTACACACCACCTGGGGCAGAGTCTTGAAGTTGTTAAAATCCAAGGCCAGTATTTGCAGGTTCTGCAGCTGCCCCAGCTCTGGAGGCAGGCTGTTGAGGTGGTTGTCACTCAGGTAGAGCTTGACCAGCTCCCTGAAGGAGCACACGTGCCCGGGGAAGCGACGCAGCTGGTTCCCACTAAGATCCACCATCTTGTCCAGTGGCATCTCTCGGAGGTCGCCGACCACATAGTTCTGGCAGCAGTCAGCAGGGATGAAGGCCACAAGGGCCCTGATGGTGTTCCCCATGTGAAGGCCCCAGGCCTGGTGAGCCCAGCCAACAGACTGGGGCTGGCTTGCAGACTGATTGGAGCCCTGTCGTACCCTCCCATTATAACCTGGGGTTTGTGTGACAACAGCCAGTCATCTCAACAGAGAAAAGTGCTCCTGATAGTAACTTGAGTGTCAGGTGACAGCCCCAACAAACAGGCAGGGACCAGGAGGCCAGGTCTGACTCACATACTTGCCTTCAAGCACCTAAGGCCCAATCCCCTTTATCTACATTTTTTTCATTTCAAGCTGAAAATAGCTTCACTACTTTTTCTGATGATAAAACATTGAGACATTACATAAAGGTGTAAAATAATAAAGTGAAAAACACCCCTAGTCCTGTCATCCAGAGATAAGTACTATAAACATTTTGCCACAAACGATCAGTTTTTTTAAATTTTTTTTTTTTTAATTTATACTGTTTGGGAGCCTCATTTTTTTGCATAACATATCATGGGCATTGTCATGCATTGAATTATGTCCCCTGAAAAATGTGTGTATCAATTTGGCTGGGCCATGATTCCCAGTATTGTGTGGTTGTCCTCCATTTTGTGATTGTAATTTTATGTTAAAGAAGATTAGGGTGGGATTATAACACCCTTACTAAAGTCACATCCCTGATCCAATGTAAAGGGAGTTCCCTGGGGTGTGGCCTGCACCACCTTTTATCTCTCAAGAGATAAAAACAAAAGGGAAGCAAGCAGAGAGGGGAGACCTTATACCACCAAGAAAGCAGTGCCAGGAGCAGAGCACACCCTTTGGACCTGGGGTTCCTGCACAGAGACGCTCCTAGTCCAGGGGAAGATGGATGACAGGGTCATTCCTCCAAAGCCGACAGACAGAAAAAGGCTTCCCCTGGAGCTGATGCCCTGAATTTGGACTTGTAGCCTACTTTACGGTGAGGAAATAAATTTCTCTTTGTTAAAGCCCTCCGCTTGTGGTATTTCTGTTACAGCAGCACTAGATGACTAAGACAGGCATATTTTTATGTTAGCAGGTATCTACAGAATAGTATTGCATAGTAGTCCATTATAAGGATGTATGTTTAGGTTGCTTACAATTTGTCACTATTAAAAACATCCTTTTTCATAGAGATATGAGCAGTTATTCACTAGTTTCTTTAGGAAATGTCCTTAGAAGTGTTACTGGGTCAAACGTATACATTCTTCAAAGGCTTTTCATTGATATTGTCACTTCCTCACCCCCACCAATCTGAACCAGTGTACACACTCACCAGCAGAGGCTATGGGTGCCTTCTTTTTATCTCTTCTTTCTTATTAGGTAAAAAATCTGTCTACACTTTAAAAATTTGCCTTTGACAAAAGACAAATAGAAAAGCAGAAGAAAGAGAAGTGGAACACTACCCTTCTAATGCTTAAATAAATTAGGATGTACTTGTACAGTACATCTGTGTCAGTTAGGGTTTACTGCCTTTCCAGATTTGTGCTTCCCTTCCCTAGTGTCAAGTGGTGGTAGGGAAGCAGTTGTCTACCCAGGACACTTCCTAGCCCTGGTGGAGGGGTGGGACTGGAGGTGTCTTTGATTAAGCTCTGGCCTCTGGAATGTTGGCAGAGTGATATATGACACTTCTAGGCCTGGCTCATTTAAAACAAACAAACCTCTCGCCCTTCTCCACACTCCCTTTCCCTATCTGCTGGCTGGATATGACACCCAGGGTGACCTTAGAAGCCAAGTGTGTGGAAGCTACATGTTCAAGTTGGCAGGACTTCGGTTAACTTAAACCCATTGCCGTTGAGTCGATTCCAACTTATAGTGACCCTATAGGACAGGGTGGAACTGCCCCATAGGGTTTCCAAAGAGCGCATGGTGGATTCAAACTGCCGACCTTCTGGTTAGCAGCCAAGCTCTTATCCACTATGCCACCAGGGCTCCACAGGCATATAGTGATGGTTAAAGTTGTTGTATCAACTTGGTTAGGCCTTGATTCTCAGTGGTGGCAGATAATGGACTGATTGCTCTTCCGTAACGTAATATAATATGATCACCATCATGATGTGATCTGATGTGATCAGCCAATATGATGAAAGGGGAGTTTCCTTGGAGGTATGGCCTGCCTCCAGTATATAAATGGATGTTCTGGTAAGGCTCGCTTGCTCGCTCGTGCTCTCTCTCTCTTTCTAAACACCTCCCTGCACCGCCCCCCCACCGCGCCCAGGCTCTATACTCTTCTCATCACCTGACCACTAGTTCTTGGGATGTAAGCCTGAAGAAGTCTTCAGCCTGCCACTTGAGTGGGAGATTTCGGGTTTGTGAGCTCCTGCAATCACGTGAGCCAGCATAAGCCTTCAGCCAGCTGCCTGATCTACAGATTTGGGACACGCCAGCCCCCACAATTGTGTGAGCCATTTTCTTGTAGTAGACTTCGCTATATATTTATACGTACACTTCATTGGTTTTGCTCCTCTAGAGAACCCAGACTAACACACATGTATTACTTTTAAAATTAAAAACTCTAGTCCTAAAGACACTATCAGCCTGCCCGCTCTCTGGACAGAGAGCCTTGGTTTGTGTGGAGGACTGGCACACTGTTTACCTTTTCCAATGACTTTACTGCTAAATTGCTTGTAACAAACCGAACAGAGCAATAGACTGAAGAGGAGCATTCCTGCCAGGTGAATGCTGATTCAACAGAGCTCTTTGGTGATGCAGCGTCACTGTTCACCTTGTTCCTATTCACAAGGTCATGACTGACCAGTGTTCTTCTTGGACTTTTTATACATTGAACATCAAGGGCAATTATCAAGGGGTACTGTGCTTTGCCTTTATATTTAGCATAGCCAGTGGTGACTACGAATGGTCATGAAGCAGCTGCCTTGATGGCATTCCTGGAAATCATAATACTGATTGCTACCAGTTATTATTTATTGAGTATCTTCTAAATACTAAGCACTGTGTCAGGAACTTTACATATATTATCTCTTCTCATAACACCTGACAGGTAAGTATTTTTTATTCCTATTTTTCAGATGAGAAAACTGAGCCTCAGAGACATTTAATAGTAACATCAGACTTTTACTGAGCATCTGCTATGTTCTAGATGAAGGAATCTGATGGCTAATGAGATAGATAGGACCTGATCTCACATAGTTTACAATTCTATCAGGATGGGGGTCTCCTCCTGGGGTTAAGCCTCACCAGTTGACAAACTCTGCCCCAACACACAGAACTTAAAGTCATCATTTTAATGCTTGGCCTCTAGATATGAACATTGACAGAGAAGCTCAATATCATCAGTCAGAACAAGGCCAGGAGTAGACTGCGGAACACACCATCAATTGCTCATATACAAGTTCAAGTTGAAGCTGATGAAAATTAAAACAAGTCCAAGAGAGACAAAATACAACCTTGAGTATATCCCACCTGATGGTCTTTAGAGACTGTCTCAAGAATAGATTTGACACATTGAATATTAATGACTGAAGGCCAGACAAGTTGTGGAAGGACATGATCATACATGAAGAAAGCAAAAGGTCATTAAAAAGACAGGAAAGAAAGAAAAGGCTAAAATGGATGTCAGAAGATGCTCTGAAACTTGCTCTTGAACGTAGAACAGTTAAAGTGAATGAAAGCAATGATGAGGTAAAAGAGCTGAACAGAACATTTCAAAGGGTGGCTCAAGAAGACAAAGTATAATGAAATGTGCAAAGACCTGGAGTTAGAAAACCAAAAGAGAATAACACGTTTGGCATTTCTCAAACTGAAAGAACTGAAGACAAAATTCAAGCCTTGAATTGCAATATTGAAGAATTCTATAGGCAAAATACTGAATGATGCAGGAAGCATCAAAAGAAGATGGAAGGAATACACAGAGTCACTGTACCAAAAAGAACTGGTTGACATTCAGCCATTTCAGGAGGTAGCATATGATCAAGAACCAATGATACTGAAGGAAGAAGTCCAAGCTTCACTGAAGGCATTGGCAAAAAAAGAAAAGCAAAGAATGGGAATTCCAGAACACTTGATTGTGCTCATGAGGAACCTGTATACAGACCAAGAGGCAAGCATTCAAACAGAACAAGGGGGATACTGTGTGGTTCAAAATCAGGAAAGGTGTGTGTCTGGGTTGTATCCTTTCACCATATTTATTCAATCTGTATGCTGAGCAAATAATCTGAGAAGCTGTACCTGACGGTTAAGATTGTGTGTCAGCTTGGCTGGGCCATGATTCTCCGTGTTTTAATGTAATCACTCCCATGATTGAATATACTGTGAGTAGCCAATCAGATAAAAGGGAGTCTCCTTGGGGGTGTGGTCCGCATCTATATATAAGCAGACATTCTGGCTTTTTGCTCTCTCTGGATCCTGTGGCTGCTTCCTGTCATCTCATCTCCCATTCTTGGGACTTGAGCTGTCAGCTTATCTGCCGAACCTGGGATTCCTTGATCTGCACAGCCTGTGAGTGGGAGCCCTGCTCTCCGACCTTCCGATCTTGGGCTTGCCAGCTTCTGCAGCTGTGTGACTTGGGAGAGGCCTCTACCCTGATCCGACTTGGGACGTTCTAGCCTCTACAATCGTGTGTGAGCTGTTTCTTTGATATAATCTCTCTCTATATATATATTTATACACTTTACTGGTTTTGCTTCTCTAGAGAACCCAGCCTAAGACACAGTACAACATGAAGAAGAAGAAGGCATCAGGATTGGAGGAAGATTCAGTAACAACCCACGATATGCATATAACACAACCTTGCTTTCGGAAAACAAAGGAGGACTTGAAGCATCTACTGATGAAGATCAAAGACTACAGCCTTCAGTATGGATTACACCTCAACATAAAGAAAGCAAAAATCCTCACAACTGGACCAATAAGTAACATCATGATAAATGGAGAAGAGATTGAAGTTGTCAAGGATTTCATTTTACCTGGATCCACAATCGAAGTCCATGGAAGTAGCAGTCAAGAAATCAAACGACATATTGTTGGGCAAATCTGCAGCAAAAGACCTCTTTAAAGCGTTAAAAAGCAAAGATGTCACTTTAAAGACTAAGGTGCACCTGACCCAAGCCATGGTACTTTCAGTCGCCTCAAATGCATACGAAAGCTGGACAATGAATAAGGAAGACCAAAGAACTGACACCATTGAATTATGGTGTTGGCGAAGAATACTGAATATACCATGGACTGCCAGAGGAACAAACAAATCTGTCTTGAAAGAATACAGCCAGGATCCTTCTTAGAAGCTAGGATGGCGAGACTTCATCTCATATACTTTGGACCTGTTATCAGGAGCGACCAGTCCCTGGAGAAGGACATCGTGCTTGGTAAAGTAGAGGGTCAGGGGAGGAGAGGAAGACCCTCAACAAGATGGATTAACACACTGGCT